CTCTTTTTGAAGAGGAACTTCCGGCCTTTCCATCACTTTACCCTACTCCTGCTTCCCTTGTAGCTTCGTTTTCTAGCTCTCTCTCTCTTCTCTCTCCGTCCTGTCAGGGAAATGGAGAATATCAGCGGTTCCTTTAAGTGAGGTTTCTGAGGAGAGTCACCTCCCTCTTAGGATTCAGACCTAATTTGTCTCCTGCGCATAACCGCTGTAGTTGTCAGTCATACTGGCGGGACGCTGTTTGGGTGTGTTTCCTGTGACAGATCTCTCATATGGTGATTCCCCCCACTGCCATTTTCTTGTGGCCTTGTGGATGACCCCAGGACCTCAAACTCGCCATTCAAGCACTTCATCACTGAGCTCCAGCCAGTGACGGAACGGTTTCTTTTATTGCTTACCATTCGGTGGAAATGTAGTTAGCGTGAGTTTGGAGAATGAGCTGTCATGTTATCAAAACATGCTCGGGTCATCTGGGTGATGTTCGTTCTGTTATTAACTGTTTCTGTATCAGGCTCTGTGTCATCACTGGGGTGAAGATGTTGAGGTGAGCATAATGGTCCCTTCTGTTGAGTGCATTGGGGTGCAGTTAAAGGGCACAGCAACACAGGAACACAAGATGGTGGGTGAATGGATGAATTGGCTTCCTTTATGACTGACAGTGGACACTGAGGCTCATAGGATGTGGGTGCTTAGAGAGACATCTAAGTCCAGCTCATAGTTTGGCTCCTTTACTATGTTTTCATAGACGATTAAGATATTGGCTAGAATAAGGTTTATGGGTTTTCTGGACCCTCATGCTCAGCGGTGTTTCATTAACCACAAGGGCTAGTTTTAATGAAGGGGTAAGATGTTTCCATGGTGAGGGCCTCATGGGAATCTGTGAAGGGAATAGCACCTTCTCTTGTCACATGTCACCCCATGTAGAGTTAGTGTCAGAAGTGCCTGCATTTGCTCTCCCTTCCCTCTATCTCCAGGCACTTGGAATAGGCTGTGTGGGTCAAGTGCACTTAGGACACCTCCCCCATGCTCTTAGGAGTCTTCTGAAGTGTTGGTGGGTTCTGAAAAAGGAATGTCATGGTGGGCGGGGGTGGCGACTGTCTAGCCAATTAGTAGGCTACTTGGATTATTGTTAACAGCTGTGTTTTGAGTATTGCGGGGCTAGGAAATTTCAGAAGATAAGGGACCTACAGAACACTGTTCTTGGTGGAAACTGACATCCTGTGAACTACAGAACACATACCATGTTTTGTTGGTGTCAACCGTCTCTCCATGGAGACACTTGAACCACCTTGCTCAAAAGAATATGGAAAGTATAATTTGTGAGAAAGTTTGAACTAGGGTGAATATTAGGAAAGTGGTTGTCAACAATCTGAAATTTCTATCTAGTCTTCTCTAGCCTTCTGAAAACTTTTAAGACACAAATCCTTAGTAGATTGAATATTCCTCCACTGTCTTCTGTTTTTTTGTCGTATTTTGGCATCGTATATGGCATGCTTTGTTCAGAGAGGATTGACTGCTTAATCAGTGAGTGAGGGCACATGGTTTTTCAGATGTCAGAACTCTTCCTTTTATAGTTTTATCTCATGGCCATCAGGTTTCAGCCTTCTTTCCCTCCATGGGTTTTCTGCATTAGGATAGAATTTAGTATCTCCATTGTGTAAGTGAAAACTTTTGCTGTAAAAAGATTAACTAATTTAGTTTGAACCATGTGACTTGTGAGTCAAGTTTTGAATCAAGAACCCAGTTTGAATGTAACACACACACACACACACACACACACACACTTCTTCATTCTGAATTGAGGGAAACTGGATTTTCATATTCAAAAGATGTGTGGAGGACCTCAGCTCTGTAGATAGTCTGAATAATCCATTATATTTTGTAGTGGTGATGGTGACGGTGTTGGTGGTGATGGTGGTCTCACTGGGTAGCCCTGGTTGGCCTCTATTTTAGGATCCTCCCATCCCCACCTCCAGAGGTCTGATGTGACAGGCCTGTGCACTGTACCTGACTTGATTAGATCTTAATGTTGGTAATAAGCAGGTGCTTTTTGGTGTGCATTCAAACCAAGGTGGACTGAGCAGTTACCAGCTCTACATTTGGAGGATGCTTGTAAAGTGTGACTAATAGTCTCTCAGTCACTAGAGTGACAAGGACAGTTTCCAGGATGAGGTGGCTTTGGAGCTGAGGAGTGGAATGTCAGGATGGTTATTTTGGTATCTAGTACGGGGAGTTTTCTCAGCCAGCCCTACCAGCCTTGTGATCAGAAACTCTCTGCCCATACAGGGGCTCATCTTACAGTGAGGTTGTAAAACCAAGAACCTGAGTAGCTTTGTAGGCTTTATATCTGGTGTTTTTTGGGGCTGTGTGCTGCTGTAGGTCCAGAGGAGGTAACTCCATCCTGCTGGGCTCTAGTAGACTAGATTACCAGAGCCTAATCACGGAGTTCTTCCCTTGCTGCAAATGAATCAAAATGTGGGAGTGTTTAGAGCTGTGTTTGTGCTTCCTGGGTAGATGGATCAATTCATGTGTGTGACTCCTGGCCTTAGACGCAGCTCGAACACTGTCTGCTATGTCTTTGCTGCTAGTCTTCTGAGTGAGGCCATCCTTGGTGGACAGTTTGGCTAGTGGACAGGCTTCCTTATGGTGGAATCTTCTCTCAAGCATCACAGAGTGGGGCTGTTCCCTGCCTTTGATTGTAGATGCATTGGTGGGGGGTCAGTAGAGTTAAGAAGGTCCACAGAGATCCCAAGGCATGATCAGGCCGGAGGAAATGTCTGGAGGAGAGGATACCTGAAGGATGGGCAGACCTGCAGGGCTGATAGGGTAAAGTGAGGGAGGAAATGGGTGTTGACCTAATTGGCCAAGCAATTTCGCATACCAGCGCGAAGGTGGAGGTGCTGAAGAGTCCTCCCACTGGTGAGCTCCAGCATGGCCTGTGTGACCAGCTGATGAGATAGATGCTCCTACCGCTTTGGGTGGGGGTTGTTGGTATGTTTTCTTCTGGAGCCTATACTTTTAGTTGCGTAAGAACCTTCTTCCGAGGCCTACGAAGGCCCAGGCCCTCAGCCCTCACTCCCTTGGCTGTAGTGGTTGAACACCCACACATCTAGTCTATATCTCTAAGTTCAGCTTCCTTGAGTGAATTCATTCTGCTGTGATCTGCTTTGGCTTGGCCCATGGTTTTATATGTGTGTGCATTGTTTTGTTTGTTGGGAGAGAGGCTAGCCACTATCAAAGAGTTCCCTCCTAGTCTCGTAATTTCTTCAGTAAGCAATCACTAGGGTGGTTACAGCTTAGCTCAAATTTTATAGCACTCTCAGATCCCAACCCAAAATGTAATCACTTTAAAATTTAGAAGATCCATGAGGCAGGCAGGCACCCAGAGTTCATCTTGGGGCCAGTCACAAAACCCGTTCTTGTTTCATAATTTATACCTTGACATTGGCAAGTTTTGAAGTCCTGTGTAAGCGTATGTGTGTTGGCAATGGGCCATCGATATCTTGCTGACATGTTCTCTGAATGATAGCCCAGTGATAACAGTTAAAACTAAGCACACCACTTTTTATTTATTTATTTTTTAAATACAAACACTGCCAAATTGAAGAAAGTCAAGGTGAGGAGTCCAAAGCTACCTGTCAGACCATGGATTGTGCACTGTTTTGCATCTGGGTTCTGTTGAGATTTACAGGTTGAGGAGAGGATATAGTTGGGAGAGGCAAGTGAAGAAAGTCAGTTGTTCCAGGACATGCTTTCCTCTTGCTTCTTGTTCTGAAGGGATAGAAGGGGAGCAGCCCTGCTCAGGCACACTGTGACCCCCTTGCCCATCCTTCTCCAGGAGCGGGTCCTCTCCTTCCTTGTTTTGGGGAGCTCTTTGCATTAATGATCTGATGTGGTTTTCACAAAGCGATATTGATATGTTAGTGTGCAGCCAGCAGGGAGTACTGGATTAGATCATTTTCACCTTGGTGTCTAGCCAGTGTGACATTTGTTTAGAAAGCTTATCCCCTTGTGACTATAGGGGGCATGTATAATAGAAAGGAACTGCGTTTACATTTTGAAGGAGGGTTTCTTCTGGCTCTGTTATCTTCACTACCCAGAAAAATGAAGGAAAGATTGCCCCACAGTTTCCATGTGACCAGGAGAGTATGCTGTAGGACCAGCTGCTGCCCCAAGGGGATGGGAACATTCCCATAAGGGTGGCAGGTGTAGGAGGGGACTGTACTAGTCTCTGTTTCATTCAGGGTTGGAGTTTAGGACCCAGTTACCTGACTTCACAGGGTAGGAGCCCCAAAGATCAATGTTCAAGATCTTGAACAACTGGCATCACTGACTCAGGAAGGGTAACTACAGCACTAGAGTAATCTCATCTCTCCTGTCCCCAACTCTTGCATGATCTTACATTGAGATGGTTTGACATTTCACTTACAATGCCAATTTCTAGAGTGAAGCTTACATCCCTTCCTTTCCTTCCCTCCACTTCCCTCCCCTCCCCTTCCCTTTTCTGTTTTTCAAGACAGGATTTCTCTGTATAACAGCCTTAGCTGTCCTGGAACTAGCTCTGTAGACCAGGCTGGCCTCGAAGCCTGCCTCTGCTTCCTGAATGCAAGGATTAAAGGTGTGCACCCTCCCACCCCCCAACTACTTTAGGTTCTTATAAACTTGTTCTGCTATGGGGATTTGACTGTCCTTGAATGTGGTACTGCTTGTAGGGTATGGGCTCTTTAGTAAAAGGTTCTCAAGTGAGCCTTGCAGATGTAGCTCTGAGGGCTCGCCTTCTTAGGCGAGACTTTGCTCTCATCCAGGGAGACCACCTGACCTCAGCCGGTCATGAATGTCTTTGTAGGGTGCTTAATATGACACACAGTGAACAAAACCATCTGGGGTCTCAGAATTGCATATTCTTTACTAAGAGTTATTGGCCTTGCGACACTAGCCACCAAGAACCTGCAATGTGTTGATGGAGATCCCAACCTTATACTATTTGATGATTTCTCTTTTAGGTTTGTTTCCTTGAAAAGGCTCCAGGCTTCGGCTTGGAAAACCCAACCGCCAAAATTGAGCCCAGCAGCTGGAGCGGCAGCGAGAGCCCTGCCGAAAACATGGAGAGGATGAGCGACTCGGCAGATAAGCCGATTGACAATGACGCGGAGGGGGTCTGGAGCCCCGACATCGAGCAGAGCTTTCAGGAGGCCCTGGCGATCTATCCGCCGTGTGGGAGGAGGAAAATCATCTTATCAGACGAAGGCAAAATGTATGGTAAGTGGCCTGGAACATTCCTTCCAGGGACTGCAGCCTGCTGTGGTGGGAGGGGACGCTCTTTGTAGGACGACAATTGGATACCCCAGGGACCAGGCTCCACTGCAGAGGAGTGTCGATAAGGGATACTGGGATAGCATCCCTTGGGGTTTTCTCTTTCTTCGTGCTTGACAGGCCTTCTGACAGATACTCTCAAGGTCCAGGTGCCACGGTGACATTCATGCAGGAGGGAACGAGTTCTTCAGCACACACCCTCCGTCTCAAGGGGGCGTTGCCATCTAGAGCCACATAGCGGGTGTCAGGAGTGGGACTGAGTTTCTTAAATCTTCCCACCCTTGTGGGAAAAGCCTATGATTTAGATTTCTGTATAAAATTTAATTTTATTGGCTGGGGATGTGGCTCAGTTGGTAGAGTGCTTGCCTGGCAGCACAAAACCCAAGGTTTAATCCACAACACTTGGGAAACTAGGCATGATGGTGCACACCCTGTAATCCTAACACTCAGGAAGTAGAGGCAGGAGGACCAGAAGTTCTGGGTCATCCTTGGCTATACAGAAAATTCTGGCCAGCCTGGACTACATGAGACCCTGTTTCAACACTATGCCCCTCTACAAAAGCATATTCAAATCCCCCACTGAACTGGGCAGATAAAACACACATGTGGGCTCGATCATCCTGTTTTGACTCTTGCTGTTGAGCTGTTGTCTTCCCCAGCTCTCCCCAAGAACCAGCTTCACCCTCCCCGGGTGAAGTCCTCTAAACATGTTCTGAAGGGTGCCACATGAAGCTGAGGAAGGCAAGCCTAGCTCTCCAAATGGCCTGGGATGCCAGCAGCAGCAGCAGCAGCATGCATGCACGCCCTAGCTAGTGTGATGCTAGCCTCCACAGTTCTGGGAGGTGCTCTCTCTCCTTTCCCAGAATGTTTCCAGCTGCGGATCTGCACTTTTCGGCTGCCCACCTTCAGGGAAGCAGATGGCAGGTGGTTGCCTGTACATCGTGCTTGTCTAATTGAGTTGACAGAGTTTGTGTTGTCACCAAGTCTAAAGAGATGCAAACAGCATACATTCCAGGAACACCAGCTCATCAGCTACCCGAGGCCGTTAACTCAACAGAAGACTGATTTATTCTCAGTAATTCTGACTATTTCTGTAATAGGATGTTGTACCTTTAACCCTGCGCTTCTCTAGCAGGAGCCCGAGGAGGCTGTGCTCAGACCAGCAAAGACTGCTGGGGAGAAAGCAGATGGTGGCACAGCTGCCACCAGCTGTGCCCCGCCTGCCCTCCCCCTTCACCACGGATGATGTAATGGAAACAAAGACACTTTTGCTTTCTGTGGCACTGAGCCTCTCAGCCTGTCATGCACCCAGGAGTGAGAACCCAAACTTGTGGCATTTGTTTTAGACTCTTGTGAGTCTTGCTGTAGCCAAAGAATCCTCTTTGTATCTACGATAGCAAAGTTGGGCCAAAACGGCTCAGCTGCTGTGGGTGGATGGTTTCAGGGCCTTAGGTGTCCTGAGTTCTTTCTTCCCTTGCTTCCTTTTCCTTGGCTGTCATCTGAGGATGACTTTGTTGCATGTGATGAAGTGTAGCTTTGAGACATTGCTTGTGCAATTCCCATTCATTTACTCAGAAATTGTTTTCATCTAAATTAATGGTGTAAACTGGATTTGGTAGTGTATACCTATAATCCCAACACCCAGGAGGCTAAAGCAGGAGAGTAAGTGGGGATTTAGGGCTAGCCTGGGCTACCTAGTGAGACCATGTCTTAGAAAAAACTACATTTTATTTTTTTTCCCCCGTTGAGTTTTTCCTTTGTGAGTAGTTGGCCACTTTGCCTGTAACTCAATTGCAAACTTTTTATGTGAAAATGATTTTTAAGCTCTCTTGCTGGGAACTGAACCACGGGAAATTTCAGATGTGAGTTGTTCTATCAACAGTTAACCTGCTCACTTTTGCCCTTGATGATGTCTAGTTTTGAGCTCCTGGGAAACGTGGTCAAATAAATGATGACCACAGGTCTTTGGGGATTTGCCACGTTGGACATTGTGGTTTTAGGGCTTGGAATTTACCAGAGTGATTGGAGATTGGTAAGCTTGATGCAGGTTGTGGGGCATGTCTGTATCACCAGGGTACTTCCCAGTTGTTCCTGTTTTGGGAAGGGTTTCTTCTTCCTTAAGTCAACACTATCCAATTGTCTGTGTTGGTAGCCAGCCAGGTTTAAAATGAGGCAGCCCTTTGAGGGATCAGCTTCAGGAATCACAGCTCAGTAGGGAGAAGAGTCTGGGAGTGGTTGTGGGTTTTCACAGGGAAGAGAGTGCACAGCCTGTAGGATTTTGTTTCCTGACTGGGGGGAAGAGGTGGATTTTTCTGTACGGATCGTATACTATCCTGGTCTTTCGGCGGAGGAGACTCTCCCCTCATCTCTCCTTCTTTGTGCTTGTGATAGAATGCCTCCTGCTGTTTTGGAGGGAAGTGTAGTAGTTCCTGTACTAGGGGAGGTGGAGACTGGATCCCCCATTTCACTGGAGCTACCTCTGCCCTGCCAGGGACTTTGAGAGTAAAGAAAGTTGACTTTTCACAGTGATACTTAAGCCACTTGGGGACAGAGTCATGCGAGCTAGGGTCAGATCAGAGTCCCCTTTGTGATCAAGTTTTCGCCATCCCCTACGTGAGTCAGAACTTAGTTGGACCAGGAACCAGCAGTCCCTGAGAGCTTTGGAAAGGATTGCACTGAGAGTATGCAGTCGCTCAAAGCCATGTGCAAGAGCGTTTGTAGAGTTCTTTGTCTTGTCACTAGTAATACTGGGAGAAGCAAGGTCAGTTGATTTATTTTAGTTAATGAGATTTCCACCGTGGTTGGCAGGAGAGTAAACAGAAAGTTCTTTGTGATGAGCTTCCGTCCCTTGGAGGAGGGGGTGGCCCGAGCTGAGGTTGTGATTCCGCCTGCTGTGTGCCCTACTGTCTTCTGTGCTCTCTGATGTACGTCACTCATTCTCAGGTGCCGCCTCTGGATTTGCTCTAAAGGCACACAGGCCTTTCTCTCTTTAGCTCTGCCCTTCACTTCTTATCTTATTTTTGCCTAGCTGGGTGTTTCTGATAGGTAGTGGGGGAGGAGGGGATAGGAGGAAAGTTTTTAGTGAACACGCTTGTCTGAAATTGGATTTCAGGGGAGTACACACCGTAGTGAATGCTACAAACCGAAGCACTGATCATTGTAGTATCTGCGTCTGTGTCTTCTGTCACTGAAGAAAGCACTGGTCCGTGGGGGTACCTGCATCTGTTTCCTCTGTAGCTGAAGACACCAGTCTGGACGTGTTGTCCGATGTCCTTGCAGTCTGGAATCCTGCAGGGCTTGGGACAGGAACCTCTTTGCAGTGACTGTCAGCCTAGAGGCAGACAGGTGCAACAGTCTAGCAGTTTAGACTCTGTCCTTAATCCGAATGGTGGGCCTGCGCTTTTAGGTCCCAGGCTTCGGGCAAGTCACCTTGATTCTCTGTGTCTCAAAGGCTAAAGCTGCAGAGGGGAGTGTTACATAGATCCAACCTCAGAGGATTGTTGCGAAAAATTAAACGAAGTGACTGTGATCTGATATTGTACACCGTGATTGAAAAACATCCTGCCTACGAGTGCTCAGTGTTTGTGAACTGAAAACATGGCAGAGGCCTTGTGTCTACTAAAGGCTCTCTATGCTACTTCTAGCTAACATCCCTAAGAGCTCTCTGGGGTGCTGTGATGAGGGGGCCGGGCAGGCAGGGACAGGGAAACTCTTGTTGTGGTGTCCAGAAAGTTTCAGATCCAGGTCTGTCTAGTTCTAAAGCCTGGGCTGTTCCTGCTCTGCCTCCCACCCTTCCTTGGTAGGTGCCATTGCACACCAGTACAGCAGACCAGTACCGAGCACCAGCTGTTTGCCAGTCTCATGCTTGTGGTTGCCAGGATGACGGCAGGGAACCAGGCAGACACAGTCAGAGTCCCTGCCCTCGTGGAGCTGTCACAGGCCCGTTTGCCGACAACTGACCCGAGGTCAGGGCTGGGTGCCAGAGATTTCTGGGAAGTCTGAGGACGCTTTGAAGATGGTCACCTTCCACTTAGCCTTTTGAAGCTTGTTCTTGGCTACCAAAGTCCAGGACACCTGGCCTGTTGCTGGCAGGAAGAGAACACTGCAGGGAGGGTCCAGATCACAAGGCTGGCCCCGATGCTGGCCAGAAAGATGTCTGGAAGGTTCTAGTGTCCTGGGACGCTGCAGGCTGACTGGGCACAGCCACTGCTAGGCAGTGACTTTCTCCTGTGAGCAGATGCCTCTCGCCTCCTTGGGAAGGGGGGGGGGGGGGGCCCCCCCCCCCCCCCCCCCCGCGCCCCGCTTTTTAAAGTGTGGTGCTGGAGATTGAGGCTAGAACCTTATGCATGTAAGATAGGGATTCTGGCTGGGTGATGGCGATGCCCGCCTTTAATCCCAGCACTTGGGAGGCTGAGGCAGGCAGATCTCAGTGAGTCCAAGGCCAGTTTGATCTACAGAGTGAGTTCCAGGACAGCCCCACTGTTAGCACAGAGAAATCCTGTCTTGAAAAAAACAAAAAAAGGGCAAGTATTCTGTCAAGTGATTCATACCCCCAGCTGCATGTGAGGGGTGTCTTTTCTTGTGGGCTCTTAGGCCAGCTGGTCAGTTCTGGAGAGCTAGCTAGTCCATGAAGACAGCGAAGATGTATGTGCGCTTCTCCTTCATTTCTGACCCGTGTCTTGCCAGACAGGAGCAGAATTTGGAATTGCTTGCTGGCCCATCTTTTCAAGAGGAAGGGGCTTGCTCAGTGAGTCAGGACATCTGCCCAGGGGCACCAGAATGAGTGCACATGGGGGAACACAACTGCGTGCCAGTCAGACAGCTAGAGGGCCCAATGCTGGCAGTCGCGAGGCTCTGCCCAGCCCTGAGAACTGTTTTAGGAGAGGCTGGACTGTCGGTGCTTCCATGGGAAAACACCTTTCATGGCTCATTTTGGGGTGGAAGAG